GGGAAGAGGCTGGCTACTTTGGCGGGTCGCGCCCTGAGCCGCCAGGCCGGGGTGTCCCTCGGGCCACGCTGGCCAGCAGAACTGACAGGGCACTGACAGTGCGCTCGCTCCCTGCCGGCATCCGGGGCAACAGTCTGCGGGCCTGCCCCGGCCAATGGCAGCAGGGGATCCCTGTTTAACTTGTTACACTTCGACCGAGGGGAAACGCCGCCGCATCCGGGAGAGGGTTGCGGGCACTGCTGGGCCGGGCCTGGGCCCTCCGGCCCCCGCCCCCTACTTCCTCCAGTCCCCTGAGCTCCCCGGGGCAGGAGCAGCCGCCATACCGCTGGGCCTCGGGCCCTCCCCGCAGCTTTCAGGTCTGAGTTCTCCCTTCGCCACCTCCCTCTCCTGGGCCTGTGCCGCAGGTCCCAGCGGGACGTTGCCGGCCTGCTGTGCGACTTCGGGAGCCCACTCGGGACCCTGCTTGGAAAGACTAGCGCTTGTTTGTGCCTCCAGTTGGTTTGTGTTTAAAGATACAGCCGCGGGCAGGAAATTGGAGGAGCTGGCGTTGAGAACGGGTCTTTACTGATGGGGAAATCCAGGACTGTTTGACAGAAGGGCTGGAGCTACCCATTGGCCAGGTGAAGCGGCAGGAGGAGAGAGGCCAAGACGGGTCACTGTTTGTCAGGAAGCTCAGCGTAGCTTTGCCTGGGAGGGTGCCAAGCTCCTAGCTGAATTGTTAAACTCAACTAGGCCGAGAGAAATTGGGGCAGTCTGTGACCAAGCTGGGCTTCCTGGGGGCTGGTGCCATCTGCTGTCTCCACTCACCCAGGCACACTACAGAGGGGGAAGGGCGGCCGAGCAGCGCGGCTCTCAGCAGGTCGCGTTCCTGTGGGTACTCGGGGGCCTGGCAGTTGGTAGGCTCTCCGTTGATGTTCCAGGAGTGGGTGAATGAAAGGCTCGGATGTAACACCTGCTGCTGTCCCTGACGAGGTGACCTCAGTTTTCACTTGTCACCACAGTATATCTCCCAACATAGTCCTAGGGCTGGGAACAAGGCTCCCCATGGACAACTTAGAAATGAACTAATACTTTCACACTTGAACTTAGCCAAAAGGCCGAGAAGTGATCGGTTATTTCCACGGTCCCTGTATTTACTTTGTTGGAGTCCAAGATTTAATCACTGGCCACCCATTCAAGCTTCTGGTGGGCTAACACTAGCTTAACGTCTCTCTCATCTCCAGATCTGGAGGTCCTCTCATTCAGCTGTTTATTTAACAAGTTGTTCATTCATTTGCTAAAAATGGAATGTCCAGTGCATGCTCGGTACTGGGAGTATAGGGCTGAGTAGGTTCTGGGGTCAGTACCACACACCTCCTGCTCTAGCAGGATCCAGAACTTCCCGTGTGGTAAGTGCCACCGTAGAGGTGACGCTGGGATGCCGTGGAAACTGCTCCCCGTGGGAAAGTCAAGTCATAAGTGACGTTTGACCTAGGTGTTGAAGAATGTATAGGAGCCCAACAGTCAAAGAGAGGGCATTTCATCTTGCAGGGATGAAAGGATATGTCACTTAGGGAATGGCAAGATGCCGTGTAGACCGGAACAGCTGTAGCTGCGGGAAAGAGTCTGGAAAGGAGGGTGAGGGCCAGATAGTTCATGGAGTACCCTGGGTGTTAGCATTTGAATTTGAACGTTGCCCTAAAGGAACGGGGAGCTGCTGGGATCTTTCTGTCAGGAGACTGGTATGATCATTGCTACTGGGTAGAAAATCACTCTGGCTACATTATGTGAGATTGAGACACAGGACGGGATGACCAGACGGGAGGTGACGAGGGCCGAGATGCAAGAGATGGCATCTGGACACAGCGTAGAGGTGGGCTGCCCAGGACCTGGTGACCTCTGGGGAGAGGGAAGACTGGAGAGAGGGATTTCTGACACGAGTGACCAGGAACTCCCAGTCTAATGCTCTCCGATCTGTATATTCTAGATGTGACAGCATGGGGGTGGACTTTGACGTGAAGACTTTCTGCCACAACTTACGGGCAACTAAGCCACCGTACGAGTGCCCCGTGGAGACCTGCCGCAAGGTCTACAAGAGCTACAGTGGTATCGAGTACCACCTGTATCACTATGACCACGACAACCCGCCACCCCCGCAGCAGACCCCGCTCCGCAAGCACAAGAAGAAGGGGCGTCAGTCACGTCCAGCCAACAAGCAGTCCCCTAGCCCCTCAGAGGTGTCACAGTCACCAGGCCGTGAGGTGATGAGCTACGCACAGGCCCAGCGCATGGTGGAGGTGGACCTGCATGGCCGCGTCCACCGCATCAGCATCTTTGACAACCTAGATGTGGTGTCAGAGGACGAGGAAGCCCCCGAGGAGGCCCCTGAGAATGGCAGCAACAAAGAGAACACTGAGACACCGGCTGCTACTCCCAAGTCAGGCAAGCATAAGAACAAGGAGAAGCGCAAGGACTCCAACCATCACCACCACCATAACGCTTCTGCCAGCGCCACTCCCAAGCTGCCAGAGGTGGTGTACCGGGAGCTGGAGCAGGACACCCCCGATGCCCCACCCCGGCCAACTTCCTACTACCGGTAAGGCCACCCCTACCTCCCAGCTCTGGAAAACTGGCCAAGCAGGGCTCAGGAGCCACGGAGAGCGGACGGGCACAGATAAGAGAGTGGCAGGGGATGTTGGATAGCAGAACAGCGATCCTGCCAGGGCAGGGAGAGGAACAGGTCCCTGCTGATGGTGACAGTCACTCTGCACCGCTGCACGCCAGGCCCTGCACTCGGTGCTTTATAGCCACCCCCTAATTTTATTGTCATAACCCTCAGGTAGGCAGTGCTCTCATTTCTCAGATGAGAAAACCATAGTTCAAAAAGGGTGCCAGGCTGGGACCAGCAGTTAGTGTAATGGCTATGTCGCTGAACGAACGCAGTTCAAGTCCCGGACCCGGTGGCTTAAACTCACACTGGCCGCATGTGCGTGCGTGCCCAAGATCCCGAGAGGAGAATGGAGGAAAAGGGATTGCAGCGTGGCCATCCCCCCTGGGGGGTGATTTCTTGCTTTCTATCTCTGTGTCTCTGTGGCAAAGCACACACACCCTATAGCAAAAACCTCTCCCAAAAAAAAAAAAAAAAAAA